ATATAATATAAAGATACAGCGCCCTAACTTCTCACAATTCAACAATTGTATTATTACTTTGCTTCTATAAAATTCTTATTATTTTGCGTAGAGTTGTCTCAGGTAAACCACCAAAAGGTTCTAACTTCATGTTTGTGTTGGTCAGTTGATCTACAAATCGTAATCGTATCGTAATCAACATGTTTATGCTGTACGCGTGTTCCGATTGTCGATCGGGTGTCTGAGATGTCATGCTAAAATTCTACAGGTGTGGTTTTTGTAGCAACTGGGTAATACAGAGGAAGTTTAATTCCTACATCTTATGTATATTCAATCATTTATCAATTGTGTTTCACTGAAAAACCAGAAGATATTACAAAAGTTGAAAATATTACCAAGCCTAATTTTTTACCTCCTTAAAGCCACATTATAGTTGTTTTGAGGTGTGGTCAATGTCTGCTTATACCCTAAATGTACATGGTATGTTTCTATAGAAGTTGTCATCACTTTAATATATATTTATTTTTAACATACAAACAAGTAAGTTTCCTACAAGAATACTTTTTACAAAGGAATCAGGTGGTTTTTTTCTAGCTTTAGCCGCGCATGTTTGTATTGTTTTCCAGTTAGGGTGGTTTCTATTGCTCCTCGCTCAAGCTAGTCAGACCTTGGCTGGGAAATGTTTCTTTCCTAATTCTTCATAAGAAAAACAGTTATTCTTTTGAGCTTCTTTCACCAGTATGGGGATATGTGATCAATACCATGTTTAGCTGTATGAGCTGCTAACTCCCAGGAACTTAAAACTATTCACGTTTCTTTACCACATCTCTATTGATGAAGACAGGGGTGTGTCTGTGTCCTCTTCTCCTTTTATTTGTTTTACACCATTCAGTTACTTGCTTTTGCTGATGTTGATACAAGTACACAATGAAAAACAAAAGTGTTTTTTTTCTGCGTACAGATCAACAGATTAAAAAAGTTTGGGTCAAACTGGTTTTCTTATTTACTGCTGTCAGCGTTCAAATGATTTGGATACTTAGAAAACTCACTGCATTGTCTCCTAAGATGTTCAAGTACATCTTTTGTTCCTTTATATATATTTTTAGCATGTGTATATTAGTCATTGATAGTGTATAAAATGCATTTTGTTAAAACATATGAGATAACTGGAAGGATTTCGACCATAGACTGTATTTGAGAAGTGGACCTAATCCATGTATGTCACCCATTGATTTGTCGACTTTGGTTTTGTAGCCTTCAATTTGAGGTTTTTAAGAAAAAGTCCATAATTCCTCACAATCAAAATATAGTTTAATGGCTGATTTATTGTTTTAGGTAAGATTAGACTTTATTACAGGACAGGTACTGAGACAACAACATGTAGTTGGCATCTACAGAAATGAAAAAAGGCCAGAGTATGTTAACAGCATTTATAGACATTTAAAAACTTTTTTTAGCTATGAATACACAAACATACTTTAAAGGTAAGAAGTGCAAATCGAGTTATTCACATAAAAGCCTGTTTATAAATGTCAGTTTTTCGAAGAGATTTAAAAGTTTAAGCTGATCTTGGTACACTGTTTGATTGATGTAATCCAACAATTAAAAAAAAACAAAAAAAAAGAGCGATTTTAAAATCCAAAACACTACCTTTTTTCATTGAAAAAAACCTAGAGGTAAACATGTCCAACATGTTCTTATCCAACCATATGAATTGTGCTTCAATCGATACTTATTGGTGTTTCAAAAATGTTTTTACTACCCTCCATTTCTTGGCATGCATGTGGTTGTTCAGTACTCATGTGTGCAATGTACGGAGGGAAACCAAGGCCACGCATGTCATCGGTACCGGTCTGTGTTATCGTCTGCCGGTTCTATCCTCAATCGCTGTCACATTCATGCCTTTAATGACTCAGTGGAGTCCATGGAGGATTCTTAAAAAGGAATTACACAATTATTTTCATGAAATTCTTGATTTTCTCATGCGTTCTGTCTGGTCAAGCAAAAACTTTGGAAGTTTCAACATTTCTCAGAATACTGAAAATTCCTCTATCAAGTTATTGTTTAATATCTGATTATTGTTTTAGATAAGATTAAACTTTATTAAAGGACAGGTGAGGATTGAATACTAGAATTTTCCAGAGTACCAAGTATCTTTTAAGGCCCTATGTTTATGTTGAAGCCCTTCATGTTCAGTCCCAAATTACTATATGTCATGTTTTACTTGTGCTCGATGACATTTACACCTAAATTGGCACGTAGGAAAACATTTTTAAGTAGGAGCTCAGGCTTATATGAAGAAAATAACAATGTAACTAATACTCATCTGCAGTAAGCAGCATCTGCTAGAGAAAGTGTGTGCAATCATGAAGCCTGAATATGTAAAATATTGTTTTGTCTGTTAGGTTTCTGTGGTGTAATAGCTGGTGGATTTTTATCAAATTTAGATTATTATCTAATAACTGTTCACATCACAAACAAGTGGTTCCTGCTTTAATGTGGGGATTTGTTTTGGCTTTTATATCATTATACATTAAATCATTTGGGTTGTAAATTATTAGTCAGATAAAATAAATAATTTAAACATGCCATATTGTGATAAGCAGAAATTGCAATTTCAACCTTTGGCTGCGCAAGGAAAACGTGGCAGATGGGGTTTCTTGATATAAAGGTTACTGATTACATGTATATCCATTGCTTCAGGAAGCCCAGCTGTCCAAACATTTTTCTTAAGGGCACGTAGTTGCCTTTGCCTGTAAGAACCCAGCATGATAACATAATTCAGATTTGTATTGTAACTTTGTTAGACACAGTAACTTCTGTGGTGACACCAAAACATTTTCTCACTGACCTCCCTCAGTCCCACAGTGTTGTCTTGTCAGAGCAGTTACAAATAGAACGACCTATGCGCTGGCATTACCTCAGTGTGTTCAGTCTCTCTCAGTCGATTTACGTCCTCTGTTCTCAGTAGAGCTCTCCTAAGATTGACTAGTTTTGGAGATGCATTCCTGTCTTTAGAGATGAAAGAATAACTCAAGCCAGAAGGAGTGAGAAAATGTATTGATCATTAATCATTATTGATAAATCTGACAAGGAAAATCTGAAAATCCTCACTGAAGAGGCTTGACAATAATTGAAGTGTCACTATTTCTTGTTGAAAAATGACAAACAGTTAACCGATAATCAAAAACCCTTTCCAATTATTTTTAATTAATAATTTTATTGGCACAACTAAATAAGTTGTGGCTTGGCATGAAATCCAAGAATCTCTTCTGGTGAAAACGTTTGAGTCTGACAGCAAAAAACACAAACTGCTTTCATTCTTCTCTCAGCGAACAATGCAGGTGGTTCGCTCTCTGACAGAACAAATGCCCTGCCAAGCACTTTCTTCATCTGTCAGGGTGGTGGTGATCATCATCTAAAGCTCTTAATAAATCATAAATGTCTCTTGTTCTCCCTGCAGGCCCCGCGGTTAGCAGAGCGGTACTGTGTGTGCCACCTGGCCACCGGGGACATGCTGAGGGCCATGGTGGCCTCCGGCTCGCAGCTCGGCAAGAGGCTCAAGGAGACCATGGACGCTGGCAAACTGGTAACTGTCTGCTCCTCTGCTTCTCAGGATCTGTGTGTTTCCTTTCTCTGCCTCTTCAGACTCCTCTGAGGCTCTGTGTTGATGTTACAGCCTTTAGTGTTCAGTCCCTCATGACTTCATGTCTCATGTGTTTGTCTTTGAGAGAGAGAAAACCAGACTTTTTCTGAGAAATGTTAATCTTTTGACTTGGAGCACAGTCATAAATTGAGAAGTGTAACAGTTACTAACACTTATTTGCATAGCTGCTAATGGAGTTGGTTAAATGTAATTTAGACTGATCGATACTAACTGGTGTTTGAAAAATGTTTTTACTACCCTCCATTTCTTGGCATGCATGTGGTTGTTCAGTACTCATGTGTGCAATGTACGGAGGGAAACTAAGGCAGGCTATGTCTTCGGTACCGTGTGTGTACGTCTGCCGGTTCTATCCCACGCGATCACATCATGCGCTGAGGCGGTGGTTTTAGTGGAGCACGGCGCGTGACTGCAGAGCACCAAAAAGAGCCTCGCAGCCGCGAACGAGACTCCGTGGTAAACTGTGGTAACATAAGAGCCCGTTGGAAAGCCGAAACCGCCGTCGCTTTTAAGAGCCGGAGCCAATGATCCGCTCACTAACGTAAAAGACAGTAGCCTATCTATAAGGGACCTCCAAGGTCAAAATTCAAACACCCCCCCCAGCTCTCGGGTATGCTCTCAGCCCTGGTCTGCGGAAACACTGTGCATAACCTCTCTCTGTCTCAGCATGCGACGGATTTCCCGAGCTGTTTTCTCCCTCTCCCTTTATTTTCCGCTCCTGTGTGGCCGGGGAAGAAATCCCTGTCACATGTTGTTTTTCGGCTCTGTGCAGCTGTTGCATCCGATAAAAAGATGGATGAGGATAGTTGCTGTGTTCAGGTCAGTGATGAATGGTGGTGGAGCTCATAAGAAGAAAACCTGGACCTCTCCGCCCTGGCAGCAACGGCTTCCTGGTTGGAACGGATCCCATCGCACAGTCAACAAGCAGAGATGGTTAGTGTTTAATAAAGGACATTATTTCCACACCTCTATTCACCCTTGTCTGAAACCAGACCCAGTCTCTTTGATGGATTAGCCTGCCGGCTCTGTCTGATTGTCAACCGTTAGGAGATATCCCACCCCCTTAAACGTCCATACAATGTGTTCAAGCGCTAGCCAAGAGTACAAAGTGTTGGCGTAGTGGATGTCAATAGTGTTAGTGTATGTGGTAAAAACTCTCCCCCTGTGGGAACTTGAAACTTGGGGGATTGTAAGCCTTTGCAGACCAATTTACATGCACCAAAACCTATACACTCTCCAGGAAAGGAAAAAACCCCCTAAAACATGATATGACCTCTTTAATGTGATGTATACTTTCTGCTCTTACTTGAGAAACAAAACTGTACAGTAGTTTTCACATTTTAGGTAATTTGTTTACATTTTGGTTTGTGTACAGATTAAACAAACGAGGTACAAGTGTTGTTAGATGAGTTTGGACTATTTTGTATGTATTTCCGAGTCAGGGTAGCTCTAGCTCGTCCATCGATCATCTGATCTGATGGAATGTTGGATTCCATGCGTACTGTCAGCAATTTAAACAACATAATTAGAAGGGAGGCTACAACGCAAGCAGGACAAACTGTTTGCGGTCGCTTCTTAAATGTTAGGTCTAAACAGAATATAAAGACCAACAGAGATGGAAAGATACACCTACATTTTTAAAACATTATAAAATGTAGGATTATTTCTAGTTATCATCACCATCAACCAACCAGTACACTCAGACCTGCTTGGTTTTCCTAGTCTCCATCGCACACACACTTCGTCCTCACCTAACAAGCACTCCACCATTATGAGAAAACCCCCTTATATACATCCACAACACATCCTCAAACTATAAACAACCCACGGTCACCTCAGATCCACGCAGCCGGACCTCCTATCCATTTCACAATCCACACTCGAGCTTTGGAGAGCCTTACACAGTGGCAGCTCTGTCT